ACACATTTGCAAATGTACTTTGTGACTCTTTGGGAAAGGGAAAGGTTATTAAAGACATTTATATTCATGATAGAGCCCCCCACACAATATGCATTCCACCATAGCATATTTATGGCACCTCATAGTTTTATCAACATTTATCCTCAGAAATGACCCACATTGCTCTATGTTAAATTGCCTGAGTGACACATCCATTTGGTAGGACAAAAAAAAGCCCCACCTGCCAGTTCTCATGAAGCGTGCACACTCAGATAAGAGAACCCATTAGCTGTATTTCTTTTCAGGGTCAATAGAAATTAAATTTGATTTCAGCACATGAATTTTGTTTCAGATCGTCCCGTCAATTTATCCAGTGCATTGCCAGAGTTGAGCTAGAGAGAGAGAGAAACTCCCACTGCATCTTCGTCTTCTGTATGTAATCCTGACTAGCGGCTGTGGATGAATATCAGTATATTAATGCCTTATCAAAGCGCAACAGATGGTGATGAACTAACAGTCTCACTTGTTAATTGAGTGAGCCACTGATTACACCAATAAAGTCAGCAGAGGTTGAGCCACGGTGATGGTGCATGACAAGCGTGACTCAGCTAATCAATAGAGCACACGTGTGTACGTTAGTGAGCGTCCATATCTGGGTGAATACGTGCAGAAAACAGTCATCGAGGGCCATTGGCTTTATCTATTATGTCGGCTCTGGGAATAATGATAACGATGATGCAAGTAATAGAAATTGTGATGTCATCGCTGCTGCTTTTTCATTTCAATCGCACAGCGACTGCGGGCGATCACAGTTAAACCCAATGGAGTGTCCCTTCAGATTAGTCTAATATTTGAGTCAACACACAACATCGGCTACTTTTCACTCTTGGCAGTTTTGTAGGCCTCTCACAACCTGTTGAAAACTAATGGGGGATATAATCCAATAAATAAATAAATAACTCAAATACCATCAAATGTGGTTCAGTTAGTGTAGATTTTGTGTTGGCCAAATAGGCCCATCTGTGGTGTGGATTTTTGTCCTCCATTTCTCTCACTCTCTTCCCAGAAGCCAAGTGTGTACGCATTGCATGTAGGGCAATACATATATGATGGTTCCAACCAAAAAAATGTGAATATGAAGTATAGAGCCCCTGGCTGGAGGATGAGCCGCCCTTTTTTGTCCGGCGTGTAAGACGAGGCTATTCAGATATTCTATTCTGAGGCTGGGCAAACAGGAGAGACTACAAAGCCACCTCCACAACGCAGGATTGCAGCAAGAGCGCGCTTCCTTAGTGTCACTCTGCTGCACATGTACCCAGCGAATATATTTACAAAGACATCTAGTCCTCAGTGGCTGCCTGGAAGGACACCATCCTATCCTGTGCTTGCCAGCATGCATAAACACACCCGGGGTAGATGGAGTCCATATTGGCAAATTCAATTCCGCAGCAATCCCTCTCCTAGAGTAGAGCAAACACTACTGAGGACAGCAGCCCGCCGAGCGTCGCCTCACCAATCTAGAGATTTCACGACAGCGTTTTTACATGAAATGTGCTTTTCCCAGGTGGTTACGTCGTGTTGATTGGTGTTAGAAGTAAATTTCTTGTTTATCATCGTCTTTCATATTAGCAGATCTAGTTGGTGATTCATCCAACTGAAAATTTGATCAAATCCTCCCACAATTTCTTCACTCAAGATGGATGTATTTATAAATTAATATTTTGTGTGTCTGATCCTATTAATACAAATCCTTCTACTAACTTCGGGTTTTAAAGAGATAATTTACCCCAAAATTGAATGAAAATGCATGCAACCTGTATGACTTTCTTTCTTTTGCAGAACACAAAAGGAGAACTCTTTTTGTATGGAGACAAAGTCAGTGGTGTTTTTTTTTTTTTTTTCTCGGTCATACAGGTTTGAAAAGACATGAGTGTGAATAAATGATGTTTTTTACAGCACCGTCCTTTTAAGGACGGACAGATTGAGCGCTATCTCTCTATTTTTAAATAACCCATCCTGAGTACTCTAATTAACCAAAAGAGTTTTAAGGAAGACTTTTCCCCTGTAATCAGCTTTCTTAATGACTTTGGATTATTTAGTGTGCAAACACAATTAGCCGGCCTAATTTGCCTTAACATATTGATTGGTGGCCACCACTGACAACCACAGGACTTCCTGCGGATTTCAATCCTTCCTGTTTACTTCTATCATTTTTTTTTTTTAAACTAACCTTTACCTTTCGTTTGCATAGAGCGTATCTGCAGCCGTGAGATATCAGCTTTCCCTGGCAGGGAGGACCGATGGGGATGCGATTTGAATTTGCAACAGTCAGAGGCACTGTGACCACGAGAAACAAATATGCGTAAGACCGTGCGGCTCGGATGAATGCTCTTCAGAGCCGTCCGTGAGCGAGAACACGATCATGGTCTAAATTGTGCATTCGATTCTTTTAAGCAAACATACGTGCTGCATGTAGAAACGGCAAATTGCACGCATCTCACCATCGTTCTTGCTTTATGCTAATGCAATTCTGTCCTTTGTAGTCAATAGCGCCGACGTTTTGAGCCATGAGAATGATATTCAAAAGCACTCCCTCTGGGTGTTGTTTATCTCTTGTAAAGCTTCCTAATACCTAAAACACATTTAAGAAAATTGATAAAATCATAAATACTGCCCCAGGCTAATTGGGATCAGGCAAAGGGTTGAAAACATGTTTGTTGCCATGGTAATTAGGGTTTTTGCATGTTTGATGAGAGTAAGATAATTATGTTGTGTAATCGTGTTTGCAGTCAGAATTGTTTGTTTGTTTGTTTCTAAAAACTTTTGCCAGCAGGAATTATTATTTTTGTCGCTATGAATAAATTATTTTTCAATTAAGGATCTAACGCTTGACAATGAGTTTGATGCTATCTCCAATTACAAGACTGAGATTGAACTGTCAGTTTTGGAGACCCATAATCCAGTGGCTTCGTAATACTCTATTTGAAGATGCGAAATCACAACAACAGGAAGAATTGTTTATGCTAATGTTTGTTGTCACCCTGTGTCATGAATAGATGAATATAGAATTCCTTTTCACACTCTTTGAAGGACAGCCATATGCGTGCTGACTCAATTACTTTTTATTAGAACAAGTATTGTGTTTATTCATTGCTGACTTATAGTTTTGCAGCAAAATGCAAATTTGGAACAGGTGCATCTCTCTCTCTCTCTCATGTTCAGCCTTGTCCTTGTCGTTTCAAGAAACGACAGTGAGAGTATGGGTTCCTCTTCTCAGGCTTGACGGCAGATCCGCTATTGACCACCATGTTGAGCTGTACTTTTCTCCTCCCACACTGGAGCCATGATCCTTGTGTCTCAGCACCGAACACGACACGCACGACGGAAACCCTAAGGGAGTCTGAAAGGGCCAGACTGTCGACACTCATTATGTCGTACGAAGAACGAACAAGACACACACACATACGCATACACAAAACACTTATTCCTCCCTTTAAGGCAAGGCCTGTCAGGTTAGTGGTGCAGGCCTGGGGTGAAGAGACCTTTGCTGTGCTGGAAAGGTTATGTAGAAGTGGCTTATTCTCTCTTTTCTGCTGTGTCTCCGTGCCCTCTGAGCGTCTCCGTCCAGCTCTCTCGACGTCTTCATACCGCCTGACACCTCCGTGGCATTTACAGAAGAAGAGAGGAGGAGGATGATATCTCTTCGTCTCTGTGTACAGGCCTCTCTCCCACTCGCTGATACACAGCCAGCATTGCCGCCACCACCACATCCTGGCATTCAGTCGCTGGAAATATCCAGGATGGACGCTGTGTTATCTGCTTCCACATTAATGCGTATGGAGATTGTAGCTCAGTGGGGACAACAGCAGTATCAGGAGCCATCTTGATGTTCAATTAGACAATCGCTGTCTGCTTCCTTTTTTCAACACTCATTGTTTTTTTTGTTTTTGTTTTCACTGTAAGCAGAAAAGCTCCAACTTTGTGCCTTTAGCCTTTAAGCAGGCCCAGATGAAATCTGTGAACTTGCTTAACATTTCCCATGCAGATTTTGGAATTTAGGAAGTTGATTTAAAGTTATGTATAGGTATATACAGAATGTGGGGGGGGGGAGAATCAAAGCAAAACATAATTTTGGGGATAAGATAGAAAGTAAGAAAGAAAGAAAGGGAAGTTTTATGTATGTATTTATTTATTCCCTTCATTTGTACACATTCTGACAGTTTTCTGTTAGAGGTTATAATATTTATGACAAGCTGTAAATAAAAATAATAGAACAATAATAGAAGTCTATTGCATGCCCCCATTTAGATAAACACTAAGTAAATGTGTGCCAAAATGTTCATTCATTCATTCATTCATTCATATATTGTTTTTATATTATTTTAAAATAAAATTCGAGCTTTGCGGTAAGATTAATTAGGGCATCCTCCAATAAATGTTGTTGTAGTTATTCGTTCATTCATTCATTCATTCATTCTCCACATTAAGTATTTAAAATTATATCATACATATTTCATACGCTCTTTAAAAAATAATAAATAAATCAAATTAATGGCAGCTTGGACAGGTTTACCCAATATGTCTGTTTGCCTCAGGTAGCGTGGTCATGTTAACCCCGTAGTGGGATTTGAAGACCTGTTTGATTGTTTATTTGTTTGTTTAATTAGTTCATTATTTTCTGTGCTGAAACAATTTAGCAAATGTTTTCCCCTAAAATGTATCATTGTTTTCATGTACATCCTGAACCCTAATATAAATATGTTATAAATGCCAGAGGTTTGAATTCTGTGGAGATCTGCAGGTGTAGATTCAGCGTGGGACTGCAGACAAGCATTACCCTCATTGTGTATGGACTCACCATTGTCACTCACTGTTAGTCTATCACTCCACATTATAGAGTGCTGTCTATAGGGTTTCTTCAGTGATAGAATTGTGCTGGCAGTTTCTTTCTTTTCCCCTCTCTTCCACAGTCTTCTCATTTGCCCTCTAATTTCATTGTCTCTCTCTTTCTGACACTTCAGGATGCTGTGCGGGAGAATCACAAGAAGAGGGAGATGGAGGAGAAGATCAAGAGAGCCAAGCTGGCAAAGGAGAAAGCTGAGCGAGAGAAACTAGAGAGACAGCAGAAGAAGAAACAGCTGATTGACATGAACAAAGGTACGGTGCTACTGACCCGCCGGGGCCCGACTGCAGCCCGGATCACGATTTCACACGGTTCTAAGCACTGCAGGGGTGGTGATGGTGATAGAGGGACAGACAGACAAATCACACTCTTTGCCGCCTGTTCGCTCGCACTAAATGTATAGGCAGATTAGACGGCCTGAGAATGTTTTAATGAAAACTCTCTATTTAGAAACTGTCACAGTTTAAGAAAACAGTAACAGGAATATGAAGACATCTGTCAAGTAAATGTTGACGACAATGATGGTAATTACAATGCCAAACACACCAGTGTGAAATCCAGCCGGAACCAAAGGGATTTCAGCAGTGATAACCATTACAGCTGTTATGAGAAAATAGAAAATAAATTAATTACATGTATGCAGAGCATAAAACTAACATTTTGTCACACCTGCAAATGGTGGGTGATTTTTAGTTACCGGCCATAAAATTGTATGTGCATTATTTTGTTTAAAAAACAGCAGCATAAATTATTATTATTATTTAATCAAATTATTAAAATTAAACAAATCAATTAATATCAGTCAAATTCAATTGAACTGTAAAGTATTTAATATTTTATTATTATTACAACAGCTGTACAATTACAGTGCTAATATTTATAGTTGTTTTTATTGTTCATATCACATTCTTAAAATAAATTTTAAAAAGTTACCAGGAAACTGGTGAAAAACACTCTTTCATATTCTCACCACCGCTGCTTTTTACTCGCATTTGGCGTTAATTTTAGGCCCTGTACGTGTTTTATTAGCTGGAGCATTTGTGCCATTGCTACATGAAGGTGTAGAGCAAATCGGCAGCAGTATAAGGCTGCACTGACAGGCCCCTGCCAGAGATGTAGGTCACATATAAAGATAAGCATCTCAGGTTCACTGCTTTTGTAGAGCAGACAGATAATGGATTGGCAGATTGCCTTTGGCCTAGTAAATGGAGTTGAGAGTTAACTATTAAGTTTTTGCAAGCTTGCTCAGTTTATTTCTGAGATGAAAAGAGGCCATGTCGACAATAGCTTAATTCAGTTTAGATTACAGCAAAACTGGTTGGATATGAAAAGCAAATTGTCCTCCATGCACCATATTTCAATATCTACATGCATATCAGCCCTGTAAATTGTGTGTTTTGAAAAGAAATGTGTGGTTCAGTTTAAAAAAGAAAGAAAAAAATTGTCAAGATGTCTCAACGCAGCTTGCAAATTCTTGCCATGAGAGATACGATGTACTCACCGCACTGCGCTATTCTGATCCTTACAATGAGACAGAAATTCCTGCCTCTGGCCAAAAGCTTTTTTCACAAGCTCCAACGTAAAATGTCACACTGAGCCCAGCGTTTTACTGTGGCCTTACATTTGAGAAAATGACATGTAGAACTTCGACTCTGTGTGCTTCCGCAGGATGACTGAAGCATGCTAGTTTCCTAAGAAGTGACCACATTGAATGCTGAGCTCGTAATAATGCAGATGGAAAGACAGTGGATAACAAACCCTCTAGTGCAGTTGAGAATACCTTATCTTTAGTTAGCTCTTTCCCTGCGTCAGAGCCCATAAAAAGACTTTTATCTTTGAACTGCTGTAGTCATCATTAGATTTAAAGAGAAGGAGTGTCAGTGAGTTCCGTTGTGCATTTGGCTCCGCAGACATTCAGATGCATTATATAACAGATCAGCCTTTTTTTGCATATGAATATGAATATGACACTATACTACTGTATACTAATGTTATTGAAAGAAGTCTTTCATTGGTCAAAAATGCAGTAAAACAGTCATATTGTGAAATGTTAATACAATCTAACATAACTGTTGATCCTTCAGTAATCATTCTAATATGTGGATTTGGTTCTTAGGAAATGTTGCAGACTGCCTAATATTTTAATCAAAACCATGATTTTTTTTTCAGTATTTGATGAATAGAAATTGCAAAAAATCTGCATTTATTAAAAATACAAATTTCCTGTAACAATGTTAACACATTTACAGCCACTTTTTCTGAATAATAATAATAATAATAAAAAAATATTGCATAAAATCTTAATGACCCCAAACTTTTAGACAGTATGACTATATAACTTTCATACAGTGTGATGTCTGTTAAGCATTATATAATGTGTATTTATGCTTTATGCAAGCTGTTACAAATTTTTTCTGGCTCTTGAATTAGACAATGTCCTTGTGTTTGGCTATATTCTGTAAACGTTCCATATTGCCAGCATCTGTCTGTTATTCCCTTAAACTTAAATACAGATCTCACCTGCTGTTTTCGATCACCTACAGAAGGATATTAGAAAGTGCAGTTCTTTCGAATTCAAATCTTTTTTTTTCAGTAAACATTTTTCTTTCCACAAGGGAAAAATAATATGATTTGTCTTTTTTTAAATCAAATTAATAAAAGTAAAACTATAATGATTGTTTGGGTATGAGCGGTTTAAAAAATAAATTTCTGCTTTAGAAACATTAATTAACCCAATAACATTGTAATCAAACACCATTCAGCGGCTCGGTTGGGTGTCTTAACAGAAAATAAAATCGTTCTTTGTGTTTTCTTTGAGCTAAAGTGCATATGTACGTATTTTAAAATTAGGGCAGTACTATTGTGTTGCTCATTTTCTCCATATATGTCCTCTCTTTTTGGCACACAACTCTCTTTCATTAGAACCAGTGTCCAACCTTTTGATTAATTATAGTTTTTAAGGCCTTTTCAAAGGACTATTTCTATAAAGAGATTTTTGAAGTCATTTTGCAAATTGATATCTAATGCCCTTCACATGCACATGATTAACAATGAGATGCATTTTTAATGAGGGTTTAATTCATTTAGGGTTAAGAGGATGTGTTTGACGGGACGGTGGAGCTGGGTAAATGAATATCTGTACCATTTTCATTTTTAAAAGTATTTTTAAAGTCACACAGACGGTGTCTGGAAATGTGTCCTTGCAAGGTTTCACAAGCAATTTTGAGTGCCATGTGATTGATGTGTATGGCATCAGTGGGGCGAAATCTGTTTTTCTTGTAAAGTATTAGAAATCCTAATATGGGAAATTGCTCATGAAATCATTACCCGGCCCCCCATTTGTTTTAATTTCCTCTAAGTGGCTTTCCATATTCTCTTAGACTGACCAGATGTTCAGCATTCACCAAATTGCTTAACCCGCTGAAAGTAAATGGGGAATGATGTAAAATAGGCCTAAATCCACCTAATCCTCCTTTCTTTATTAGGAAAATATGTTTTGTCCTAGCAGGGCGGCCATTTTGCCGGAGGATATGAAACTATGTTGTATACAGGGTGTCTCACTCATTGAGAAACATCACTGAGAGATGATATGACTTCCTGTCTTCCTGTCTATTTTAATGAGGGTTTAATTCATTTAGGGTTAAGAGGATGTGTTTGACGGGACGGTGGAGCTGGGTAAATGAATATCTGTACCATTTTCATTTTTAAAAGTATTTTTAAAGTCACACAGACGGTGTCTGGAAATGTGTCCTTGCAAGGTTTCACAAGCAATTTTGAGTGCCATGTGATTGATGTGTATGGCATCAGTGGGGCGAAATCTGTTTTTCTTGTAAAGTATTAGAAATCCTAATATGGGAAATTGCTCATGAAATCATTACCCGGCCCCCCATTTGTTTTAATTTCCTCTAAGTGGCTTTCCATATTCTCTTAGACTGACCAGATGTTCAGCATTCACCAAATTGCTTAACCCGCTGAAAGTAAATGGGGAATGATGTAAAATAGGCCTAAATCCACCTAATCCTCCTTTCTTTATTAGGAAAATATGTTTTGTCCTAGCAGGGCGGCCATTTTGCCGGAGGATATGAAACTATGTTGTATACAGGGTGTCTCACTCATTGAGAAACATCACTGAGAGATGATATGACTTCCTGTCTTCCTGTCTATACTGTCTCTCAGCCTGCTGGCTGTTTCAGGGTCACGGTTGTGGGTCACTACAAGTGTTTGTGGCCACATGTGGTGTCTGAGCTGAATGAGGCATGTCATACGGGCTTCCATAAAACACAGAAATTGTTCTTGCCATATTTTTAGTGAAGTGTAGCTTTATGGTTTTGTCCTTTCCTACTCTTGGATAAACTCCTATATTGCATGTGAGTGCTGCCCTCCAACATTTACCCAGCTGTTGTTGTCTTTTTATACAGATATAATGTTACAGATTTGGCTCAGTTGAGACATGTTTTGACTGAGGACAAAAAGAGACATGACCCTGTCCAGTAATTCTGTTCATTTGAGCCAGTTCAGTAACAAACACGACACAGGCAAAGGAGAAAATCTGTCCTCTCATTCTGTTCGATTACTGCGGCGTCTAAAAATCTTTTTCAACATATTCGACTCGATTTTGCTGTGTTGTCATTTTCCCCAATGCTGGTGTTTCACATCTCTAGGCCAGTTAGAAAACGGAGAATGTTGTTGTTGTTTGCGGTCACCTTGCTGAGTCATCGTGAATAACATATTTCTTGCGCCATATAAAAACCAGACGGTACAATAAATGATGCTGTTAAATAAGACTGGCACACATCTGCTAGAGTCAGGAAGAAAGTAGCTTCACTTTCCAGTCTGACAGTACAAATGATCCCTTTAAAGGTTTAGAAAAAAAAAATAGTGTCGGATTAAAGTGCTAAAAGGAAGATTGGTGTATTCGTTTGAATATCTGTATGGTTGAGCTCAGTTTTGTAAGGTCTGCCAGTGGGTTTCAGAATGAATACTGCTCTTTATGTCTGAATATTTTCTATAACCCATTACTATTCATTCAACGCTCTCAGTCATAGACAGACAGTCGGCAGGTTCAGTTTAATTCTTTCTGTGTGTAGCGCAGTTTGTGTGCACTTATTTTTTTGGGCATCTTTATATAGTCTGTGAAGTGTAATTTCTGCACCAAACAGAATTTTGTAAGAAGAATGTTTCCAGACATATTTGAAACACTTTGTCACAAGCAATCAGACTAAATAGCCCTGTCCCAGTCGGTTGAGCACAGTGG